TTTTTTTTTTTTTTTTTGCAAACATACACGTTATTTTATAAAAATGTAATTTTAAATGTTTACACATAAAATCTCAACATTCATAGTTCTGTTTCATGCTTTATTTTGAAAGTTAAATTAACTTAATCAAACGGACTACTACGAAAAATTAGACACAGGATAGATTCCTATACCTTCTTCATTTAGATAAAACAAAATTCTACATGAAACAAAAATTTTGATTGGTGGTTGTGGCAGTGCTAGAACACATGTGTGAATTATTTTCTAAACCTTGGAGGCAAGAAGGCCTTTCTACACATTACATGAAATGGATAAAAAGTAAGAGCAGTGATAAATTTGATACTTAAAAAATGAAATTCTGGGTGCACCTGGGTGGCTCACTCGGTTAAGCATCTGACTTCAGCTCAGGTCACGATCTCATGGTTTGTGGGTTTGAGCCCTACGTCTGGCTCTGTGCCTCCCTCTCTGCCCCCTCCCCAGCCTGCACTCTCTCTAACAATAAAGAAACATTAAAAAAAATTTAAAAAGGGGCACCTGGGTGGCTCAGTCGGTTGAGCATCTGACTTTGGCTCAGGCCATTATCTCGTGGTTTGTGGGTTCGAGCCTTGAGTTGGGGCTCTGTGCTGACAGCCTGCTTCGGATTCTGTGTTTCCCTCTCTCTCCACACCCTTGCCCTGCTCATGCTTTTTCTCTTTCAAACATAAATAAACATTAAAAAAAATTTATAAAAAAAGATAATACATTCTGACTAGTAGGGTTTATCACAAGATTGAAAGACTGGTTTAACATTTGACATTCCACCAATACCATTCACAATATCAACAAAATAAAGATTAAAAATAACATGCAGTAGCTGCTATGCTAACTTTTGTTTACGTACTTACTTTAAGTTTTCTAATTCCTGTTTTCTCAATGGAGAGGAAGGTGGAGCTGGAATGAACTTATCTCCATCATGGCTTTTACTGCTAAAATAAAGACAGACTCTTAATTATAAAGAGCAAATAAGCAATTAAATATAAAATTTGGTTGCCTGATCCCCACTCCCATGCAATTTTTTATGCCAAAAATGCAAAAGAGCCAAAACAACCAATGAAAAAATGCTTAGTAACTTGGTAACACCAATGTGCTAAAGCTATACTGTATTTCAGCTTCTTTTCTCCAATACACAATATTGCTTTAAAAAATATCTAATTGTTGGGGTGTCTGGGTGGCTCTTTCAGTTAGGTGTCTGACTTCAGCTCAGATCATGATCTTGTGGTTTGTGAGTTCGAGCCCCGCGTCGGGCCCTGTGCTGACAACTCAGAGCCTGGAGCCTGCTTCGGATTCTGTGTCTCCCTTGCTCTCTGACCCTCCCCTGCTCATGGTCTGTCTCTGTCTCAAAAATAAAACATTAAAAAAAATTTTTTTTTAATTTCTAATTGTAAACAATATCTCTACAAAGGAGACCACTCTCGTATTTTCACACATTTCTCATTCTTCTGATTGCTTTTTTTTTTTTTGTATCAACTATAGTAAAAGATAACCTCTTGATGGAGGCAGAAAAAACCCCACAGTTTTGTTTCAAATTTTCTTTAATGAATGTATTTTTATAATAATCCAGAAAAAATGCTGGGAGGAAACACTTGAATTTAAAGGTGCTATGTGTAAAAATAACTTTATATATGATGGTGTTTTATGATTACTAGAAACTCTCTTAGTTTCTAGAGATTGGTATAACATTTATACAAAAAAACCTAGAAATTAATAGAAATATTCTAGAGGTTAGTGATTTACGGTATGTTAAGACAAAAGGCAGAGGATAAGAAGAAGTGAGAAGTTTTAGGATTTAAGTATTTACTTTAATAAAAGTAAAAACAAAGCCCTATCTCTGAGTGCGAAAGGATTTCTTTACAGCTGTATCTCCTGTCAATGAAAAGCTGTTTCTTTCCACTTTTCTCTTCCAAGGTTCTGTCCTCACTTGGCCTTCACTTTATTTCTCCCTTCCAGAAATACTTAACATTCATACTTTCCTTTCTTCTTATTCAAAACAGGGGATTTAGGAAATTCAGTCTGGAGATTTTAAGAATTCATCTGTAGGACAAAGGGGCTCACGAAGAAGTCCTGAGGGGCTTCACCAAAGGGGGTCCAAGGGATTAGAATACCTGCAAGTTTCGCCGCTTTCGCCGCTCTCCGTGTTCCCACCTAATTGGTTACTATTTTTAGACCCATTTTCCTGCTTCGGATCTTGCTGTTCTTCCGGTAAGAGCAGCAAGGCGTTTCGGAGACAGATGGCTGCAAACTCCATGCTGGCTACAGGAATGGCTGAAGACTGTCCGTCGCTTGAAAGAGTAAAACCGAATTAGCTAAGTAAATAACATAAAAAGTAGTAAGACTTTTCTGTTATCGGGAATAAAACCAATAGAATTATGAATGAAAATGTGCCCTCTGACAGGGAAAAATCTGAAAACAAGCCACTCCAAGAGAATGCTAAAGCACCCAAATCCTAAACGGTGCATATCAAGTGTAGGAAGCATGAATAATACCCAGTTGTATCTCCAGGAATGGGACTAGGGATGGAAAACAACTTGGAGGTGATCTGCAGTGCCCATGTTAACACAACAGACAGAGGAGTAAGGTAAGAAAAATTGTAACAAGGGCCAGGACAGGTATAGTAAGAACGGGAAAGAAAGGTTACACCTGAGCCTTGTTTCAGTTGATCCTCGTTTTCGAAAATGCTTTGTTTTGCCTTACAATATTTTTTTTGAGATTTTATGTTATTTTATTTTATTTTTTTAAATTTATTATTTTTTTTAACGTTTATTTATTATTGAGACACAGAGAGACAGAGCATGAGCAGGGAAGGGTCAGAGAGAGGAGGAGACACAGAATCTCAAGCAGTCTCCGAGCTGTCAGCACAGAGCCCGACGCGGGCCTTGAACCCACGAACTGTGAGATCATGACCTGAGTCAAAGTCGGACGCCCAACTGACTGAGCCACCCAGGTGTCCCTTTTTTGAGAATTTATATAACTTTCTATTGATACACCAAACTAAACTTTATTAGGGGGGAAAAAAAGCGAAAA